ATTCGCTTTTCGTCCTCTCAATTCCGTAAACAACACTCCCGCCACGAGAAGGCAGTGAGTAGGACTTCTTTGGCAGAGGCTATATACGTGTGGCCATGTGAGAGCATTTCCAGAGGGAGAGCTGACTCTTTTGCTGCGAAGAACTCCAGCTTTGAGGCGTCGCTTGTATTGTAGTTTAGTGCCTTTTTGAGAGCTGACTCTCCCCACTCTCAGCCATACCAGGGCATTTGGAGCCATTAACAAATACATTTTGTTAAGAAGAGATATTTGTCGATATTTCATAGAAAAGTAATTGGACTATAAAAACAATTTTTGTTCAACTTAGGAACAATCTAATTATTTTAATACTGAGTCAGATTAAAACAATAGTAAAATAATCAAGGATATTTTTACTTTTATCAACCATGTCGTAGCTTTTCTGGATTTCAGAAACACTATTCTGGAAAATACTGGTGAGCTACGACGAGCGGTAATAATTTGAGTGTACTTTGGTTCTAAAGCATTAAAAGCATGAAGTCAAAAATTTTGCATCCGTAGGTTGATCTGTTGGTTCTAGATAATGTGAAGTTATACAGTTGTGACTTATTTCTGTTAGAATTAATCTCAGTTAAGGGATTGATGAAACACTTGGACGTTTTGTTTGGTCATCTGAGAATTATATCCATCTATTTGGAATGGTCTAAGTTTCTTCGGTATTTTTGTTCAATAAATACAGAAGGCAGAGTTAGAAAGCCATTTGCCAAACCAACGAATGATTTGGAAATCACAACTAGTTCAGTTTTTAAATCTCGTTAAACCGAATGATAATGATCCTAGATTATGTAATTATTTAAACTATTTTAGCATACCAACTTTCAACTCTTTTTGGGTATGGAGTTCTATTGCATGTGAGTTCTAAAACAAACGTATCCATAGTGTAAAATAGATAAATATATCACGACCGTCAGTGCTTTAGTTGAATTCACATGAACACGTTTCTCCGACAACTGATCTCCAAAAACGAATTAAATATTGAAATTTATTGCTTAGATACATGAAGATAGAACAGTTTTTTATCAAGAGAACAAATATCTAACTGTTTTCTCAAGATACCTTAAATTTACATTCTACACAACAAACTGAATTTTGTAACTATAATTTACAATAAATTATTAGTCCTAGAAACACACTTTCTCAGAGTCAGAAAATGTTCGTATAGTAATTCTAAGGAAATCTAAATTTTGATGAGTAAAAAGACCATTTGAATTCCAAAATTATTCTAGTCATTCTAAATATCAAAAAGAATAGAATTTAATATGGCTTATAAGTATTTTAGTTTCTAAAAGACTCCAGAGATGCTGTAATCAAAAAAGATCTTAGGTGATAAACACTTAACATTCTTTGACCTGTTCTAACGCAGTTTCTTAAAAAGAAAAAAGAATCTAGTCGAATAAATGTGGAAATGAAGAATTAACATGAGTTTTTTAATCAACTATTCCCTATGTGCAAACACAGACAAAATGCACCATTTGAACAGATAGTTAAAAGCCTTTAAAATAAACATAAAAATTAGAACG